GGGAGAGCAATGCATGTATTCAGGGGCGGCTTGCCCAGGGCCGTAGGGGCCGTGGGGGCAACTTGCCCAAGGGCCCCAGGGCCCTAGGGCCCTCGCCGGGCCCCAGGGCCGCAGGGGCAACTTGCCCAGGGCCGTCGGGGCCGTGGGGGCGAATGGCCCAGGGGAGAGCAATGCATGTATTCAGGGGCGCCGATGATCTATGTCTTCGACAAGGCTCCCGGACGAATGCGTGTAATGCCCGCCCCTGGGCTATTCGCCCTTCTCGTCGCCGCCGACAACTGCTCCGGATGAACCATCAGCCTTGTGAGAAAGGGCTGGAACTTCCGAGGGCCCCGTGTGAAAAACAGCAAGGCCTTGCGAGTCCGGGCCTGCGTGCGGCAGCTCTCGATCCTCCGATGCCCCTCGGGCGGCTCCGGCCGAGCGCAGACGCCGATCCTGGCCAGGCCCACGCTGGGCTCCACAGAGCGTCGGGGGTGGCTAAAGGTGCCCCTGGCCCAAAGTGCCCCCAGCTCTTCGCTGCGTTCTGGATCCCCCGGGCCCCCCTGGGCCTCGTGGGGGGTGGAGGCCGTGGGTCACCGCCCACCAAACCACTCCAACGCAACACGAAGGCCCGGATTTGCCCTCCATTTCCAGTGGGGGGGGGGTCGAGCATGGAACAAACATATGTGAAGCCCGCCCCCAGCCCGAAATTCGGGTCTTCGGGTTGGGTTACAGTCGGGGCCCTGAAGGAAGGAGCCCTTTTTGTTGGGGAGGGGCTCCGTGTTCCTTCGTTGCTTTACAGTGCTCCTTGGGTTTTCCTGAGGTTTTCCATGGAACATCGGAGTTTAGTTTATGGGAAAAAGGGGCCTCGTTCCTTATTTATCGTTCCTTAGGTCAACTCCCCGACTGTAGTCAACTGTAGTCTGGTAGGTAGTCAATGGGGGCGTCCCTGGAAATCCTGGGCACCTTGGGCGAGGGGCACTGCCGGCCGCACCCGAGGGTGGTGCACGCGCCGGCCCGGCCGGGCCCGGGACGGCGCCTCGCGCTCCCCGGTGCGGGGGCCCAGGGGGGCCCAGGACGGGCCCTGGCGCGAGACGGCCTGGCGTCGCCTGGACGTGTGCCGGCCACGCGCCGAGGGGGGGTGCCTTGGCATCGCTCGGACGTGTGCATTTTTCCTTCGGCGAGGACCATCGAGGAGCATCCTTGACCATTTCGGGGAAAAGCCACGCACGAAACCAACAAAAAGCACAGGAAATGGACGTCCGAGCGATGGCCAGGTGCAGTTAACCCGCATAGCAAGGAGGGGCCATTTTCCCAAGGGTGCCCTTGCATCCTTGCCTCCTCGGTCCACCCTTGGCCACTTTCGTTGGCCGCGCCCCCGCTCGAAAAGTGCCGACATGGGCGTCCAAGGCCCTTACATCTTTACCGCGCATCCTCATGATACGGGTTGACTGTAAGGGGGATGGGGGAAGACTTCTGAGAAGCACCCCTACTTCTAAGAAGCCTTGCCCCGTCCGCCTACCCACGTGTGCGCGCCGCCAAGGGACGGCTTGGCATCGCTTGGGCGACGTGTGCATTTTCGTTCGGCGAGGCCAGCTCCAGAACAGCTGGACCATCTCTCTAGGCCTCCCAGATGGGATCGGAGTAGACGGGGTCGGAGGATCGCTAGGACCGCGCCGCATCGCCGATGCATCGCCGATACGGCTCGATGTGGAACCAGATTGTCTCCAACCAGTGTTCGCCGATGTGTTGCCAATGTCGCCATTATATCGCCTATGCATTGGCGATGCGGCGCGATCCTCTGACCTCATCTACTCGAACCCCGTATGGGAGGCCTCCAGTCTTGGAGCATCTTGGATCTCCAGTCTTTGAGCATTTCGGATCATCTTCAGAATAAAACGCGCGCGAAACCAAGGAATGCACGGGGAATGGACGTCCGAGCGATGGCAAGACGGGCGTCGGTGAATGCAGTTTGCCTCCCCCTGATTCGCCGTGTCGGAAGAGGGGTCCTGAATGAAACGGGTCCTGGGCCCAAGGGTTTCCTTCGATACCCAGGACGTGTGTTGGCCCAGTTCGTGTTTGCCGCGTCTGGCTTCACCGATAGCACGCAGCCCGTGTTGTGCCTCCTTGAGCCGCCTGCGTCGCATTGAAGGGCTCCAGTGGACAAGAGCATACGTTGGCGCTGACACAGATTCAGAGGATCGTCTATTTTCGCAGGACCCGCTCCCCATCCTGAGTCGTTTCTTTTTTGATGGTCCTGGGGCCCGGCGAGGGCCCTTCGAGCCCGAAGTCGAAGACATCTTCATGATCCGTCTCCTCCAGGACACGCTTCCTCGGCGACCCCGGCGCGGGCGTTCGAGACTGAACGCTGCTGGTGGCCCCAAGTCGGCCGACATCGAACGATCTGCGCTATCGGGCAGCCGTGATCGTGCAAGGTGGGACGATCCGAGCGGTGTCAGAAGGCAGCGTCGACGTCGTCACGACGGGGCAGGAGGAATCAAGCTGGCCAGGTCGAGCGAGTCAGGGGTGCCCTGCCTGCTCCCGCCTTCCATCCCAGGGTGTCATACACGGCTGTGGAACTAGGAGGAGGGAGGAGGGAGGAGGAGGAGCAGAGGGAGGACGAGTCGGTGGAGGAAGAGGGAGGGTTTTTGAGCGAGGAGGGGCGAGACGACAGTCGAGGTCTCGCGGAGGATGCTGCAGAAGTACTCGCCGTTCTTCGGGGGCGGCTGCTCCTCCAGCGCCGAGGCTGAGGGCGTCCTGGCGCTGGTCTAGGGACAGGCGCGGCTGCTGCCGCTGCCGCCGCCGCTACTGCTGCTGCTGCTTCCTGCAGCAAACAGGGCCCCCAGACATGCTTGCGTCCGGGAAAGACCGTGACGTTTCAAACGCAACGCAGCCTACATGTTTTCTTTTTATTCATTTTTCGGCGTCCAGGGGCCCTCGCCAGGTCACAGGACCGTCAAACAGCGGCTCGGAAGGAAGAGACGTCCTTGCTTGACTGAACATTGCCCCGTGTAGTTGTACCATCCTGTGTAGCTCAGTTACATCGCATTCGTATAGGTATATCACAGTGTACGCAACCACCTTCCAACTTCATTTGAGGTCAGCACAGTTATATATACATACATATGTAAAAGTGTGCTCAAACATGAAATACTGTAACTTCCAACCATCGATCCTGAGCTTATGAGAGCGTGCACGCTTCGCTAAAACTTTCACACTTTGTTGTTCGAGCCTGATGGATCCGTGGCACAGGTTTCACTTGAACATCATGTGAGGCGATTTGATGGGGTAGATCTCGAATCGCGCTGTCCTGTTGGGCTCATTCGCGTGTTTGTTTTAGCAGAGAAACGACGTAGAATTGAGGTGCCTCGCATAACATAGGTGGGCCCAGGGAGAGAGCGAGTCCCACGTCCTTCGCTCTCCCCCTCCCCACGCCTCGATTCCCTGGCTTCCCCTCGATTCTCCCTCGCGGGTCTGGCTCAAGACGGCCACGGCGGCAACGTTGCCCGTCGGGGGACTCTGTGTCCAAGCCTCACCGGGGGTGGACAGAACCCCCAACAGTGACACGTCGATTAGTGAATCGTCCGTTTTCGGTTCTCGAGAGGGCGCCGCGGCCGTCATTTCCCAGGCTTCTGCCCGCCAGGTCTGGGCCCGAGGTCGTTTTCACGAGGCCACGCTTTACGAAAGGGAGGTCTGTCCATCCCCGATCTCAGGGGGAGGGCGGGAGGGGGGCTCGGAGTCGCGGCCACACGACGGAGCCTCGGCGCGCGGCGCGCGCCGGCCGCGCGAGCTCGGCCCGCCGCAGTGCCGGGTCCCGCGCAGCTCCGGGCAAGAGGGTCTCCTTTCCGGGCACGCTGCCGGTCCCTCTGCGATCGCCGGATGGGGTCCGGCGATCGCAGACATGGATCAAGGGGGCGTGGATTGGCGGCGGCTCCCGTTTCCATGGGAAATCGCGGACCTCCGCCGCCGAACGAGGCGGCACCGGCCGCACGTCGGGGAGGGCACCTCCCCGGATCCATGGAGTTGGCGACGGCGCGCCAAGTCCATGGATCGCTAATCCATGTCTGCGCCCTCCTGATAGGGGCGGGGCTACATTGCACTTTCTCCGCGGCCATGGGCCGTGACAGGCCAGGGCGGGAGGCGAAGCTCACGCGCCTGGACGCATGCAAGCGGATGGCCCCGCGCGCATCGTCCTCAGTTTTGAGCGCCATTTTGCAGGAGGCCAAGCAGCGTACGGCAGGGGCCACGAATCGCAACGCCAGTCGGAAGGCGCGGCACGTCATCGTGCGACGCGGCGACGTACGTGGGGCGCTCCTCGACGAGCCGCCCATGTCCTGAGCGAACGCCTCGGCGGAACTTCGTCGCCAGAGACAACGAGGCCCCAGGTTGAGTCACAAGCCAGGGGCCGTTCGCAGACCGTTGGGCCGCGCCCGGCGGAATCGCTGGGCCGTCCGCGGGCTTTTCGCCCAGAGTGGACCGGTGCTGACGGGCGAGAGCGCGTGGATATGCCCGGCCTGCGAGCGGTCCGATTGCGCGAAAGCGGTGGCGGCGTCGCCCTGGTCTTCGGGTCATTGCTCGAGGGGCTGTCCAGACCCGAGGGTCCGAGTTTCAATCGGAGCGAAGTGTTTCTAAACTTCGTCGACGGTGCGTCCAGGGGGCTTTTCATCGATTTCAGAGTGCCGTTGCGAACAGCGGCACCCGTAGATGTGCGGCGGCGTCTTCAATGTGGAACGCGAAGCTGGTTTGAAAGCGGAGGTCCTCTGCAACATCGGAGACGTCATGGACAGTGGCATCGACGGCGAGGGCGGGGGCAGCATTCTGTCTTGCAACTTCGCCCTCGGGTCTGGCGCCCGCCTTCTGCCCCGCTCTCAGCTCAGATTTCAGCCGTCGCCGCTGCCACTCGCTCAGCCACTTTCACACCCCGTGGAGAACGGGAACTATTCTTCAGTGCCGATCCGTTGCTTGCAGCGGCCGCGGCCGCGGCGAACCGCGCAGCTGCCAGCGAATTCCATGAGGCCCCGAGTGCTGAGCCACCGCACCGCCCAAAGGCGCAGCGCGCGGTTGCGCTCACACTGCTGCGGGCCTCCTTCTCATCGCCATTCTCAGTCACGCTCGCGAAGTGCATCGCAGCCTGGGGCTTCCATCAGCCGCATCCGCTCCCAGAGCTCGCCACACGCTGCAACGCTCGCACGAATGCCATGCACCCTGTCCGCAGGATCTGTCGCTGGACGGCATATAAGACACTCGCAGGTGAATGGACGCCGACCCATAGCATGCACGCTCGCCTGCAGAAGTCGTTCGTTCCCCTCAATTCATTCCCCCCTACCTCGCCCGCTCGGCCCTCGTGAGCCTCCCCTGCTCCACCGTCGCTGGCCGATGTCGCTAGGGTGAGGCCCAGCGAGTTCGAGCTCAGAGAGATTGCAGCGGTTTCAGCCTCACAAGCCTAACCTTCTGCTGGACACGGACCTGTGCCGAATCGTGATGCCCGTGAGCTGCTCTGCTCACGACTGGATGCATGTGCTCGTTGTGCGCGCAGTGCATGGCACGCAGCGCTGCATTTGTGGATGTCCAGCTTGCTGGCTGCGGGCGTCAGGGGCGCGCCGAAGGATGGGTGCCGTCTACTCGGGAAGTGGGGGCGCGCGCAGTGGCGGGGGGTGAAGACTGCCGCCCTCGTCGACGCACTCTCGCCGCGTGGAAAGCGCGCGTGGAAGCACAGTGCGCGCAGTGCACTGCGTCTGAGGCGATCTCCATGCGCTGCAGGATCGCACTTCTCGCGCGTGCCGCGCGGTGCAGGGCGGGCTTCGGCGTCGAAGAGCGCGAGGCGTGCCCCTGCTGCTCTGCCGTCTTGGATCTCCTGCCGGGCGTGCCGCGCGGCGCCGTGCCGCGCGTCAGGCAGCCGAGTCTAGGTGGGCGTGCTCTTGCAGGCCTGCGTGGGCGCCAACTGGGGGGGCTACCCGTGCCCGATGTTCCACTGGGCCCTGCGCTTGGTGTCAGATAGCAGGGTGTTCTGCGCTTGCCGCGCGTCAGACAGCCGAGTCTAGGTGGGCGTGCTCGCCTGCGTGGACGCCAGCCGGGGGGGCTACCCGTGCCCGATGTTCCACTGGGCCCTGCGCTTGGTGTCAGATAGCAGGGTGTTCTGCGCTTGCTGCCGCGCGTCAGCCAGCCGAGTCTTGGTGGGCGTGCTCGCCTGCGTGGACGCCAGCCGGGGGGGCTACCCGTGCCCGATGTTCCACTGGGCCCTGCGCTTGGTGTCAGATAGCAGGGTGTTCTGCGCTTGCCGCGCGTCAGACAGCCGAGTCTAGGTGGGCGTGCTCTTGCAGGCCTGCGTGGACGCCGGCCGGGGGGGCTACCCGTGCCCGGTGTTCCATTGGGCCCTGCGCTTGGTGTCAGATAGCAGGGTGTTCTGCGCTTGCCGCGCGTCAGACAGCCGTGTCTAGGTGGGGGTGCTCTTGCAGGCCTGCGTGGGCGCCAGCCGGGGGGGCTACCCGTGCCCGATGTTCCTCTGGGCCCTGCGCTTGGTGGCAGATGGCAGGGTGTTCTGCGCTTGCCTGTGCCGCTGGGCGCGCGAGGGGGAGCGCCGGGTGCTGACGCGCGTTCGGGGGGCATGTCGTCGGTGATGGTGTCGGCCTCGCTCTCGCGTCGCGCCCTTGTGAGGGCGCAAGGAAAACGCGATGTTGATGTCATGATCGCCCCCCCCCTCCCCGGGCTCTCGGAGGGCATGCGCAGCGCGACGTCCATGGAGACTAGCGTCCTTCTCGTGGTGAGCTGCGCTCGCATTCGCGACCTGGCGGCCTCGGGCGATGAGTTCGACGTCGTGGTCAAGCAGCAGGCGCCGAGACTCGCCGATGACAGTGTGGCAGCGCTCATATGTTCTGAATTGACCCCCCCATGGCGCGGGCGCCGACTTGCTTGGGCGCGAAGCCAGCCAGGGCCCCCGCGCTTGCAGTGGTCTACACGTTGCACACGAGAAAACCCCAATCAGTGGATTTCTGAATGTCTCGCAGGTGCCTCGATTAGTTTTCCTCTTGCCCTAGTATGGTTCGAATATAGTCGTAGTCCAGTCTGGTTATGTTCTGTATATTATACTCTCTCTCTCTCCTTTTTTTGTCTCTCTCTCTCTCTCTTTCTCTCTCTCCCGTGGTGTCCCGTGGCGCGGGGATGTCCCGTGTTTTGCTATAGGCTATGATGAGTGCTAGCGATAGTGAGGTATATAGCGAGATGAGATCGCTGGTGATATCGGTAGGGGGATCGATTGAATGAGATCGATCGTCGTGATATCGACAATGATATCGATAGTGGGCTCGGCAGTGATCTCAATTACGTGAGTTCGATTGTGAGATGGATCGTGCGTTCGATAGCGGGCTCTATAATGATATCGATCGTGATATCGATTTAGTGAGATCGGTTGTGAGATCGATCGTAGGATTGACTGTGTGATCGATATTTATCTTTGGTGACATCGATTTGGTGACATGTATTTTGGGATCGACAGCGGGGTCGGCTGTGAGAGCGATAGGGACATCAATCGTGTTATCGCTGCTGGTATCAACATCTATATTTTTTAATTTATATATATAGAATGACATGGGTAGTGGATCAATCGTGAGATTGGTCGTGTGACCGATGATGCGATCGTTCGCGAAATCGATCGTTACGCCGATCGTGATATCGACAGTGCGATCGATCGTGCGATCGATAATGCTATTGGTTGTGGCATCGATCGTTTGATCGAGCATGACATCGGTAGTGGCATCGGTCGGGAGACCGATCGAGATAGCGGTTTGAGATCGACCGCGATATCGATTGGGAGATTGATAGTTGGATCGGCTGTGAGATCGGTGGATACATCACTCGTAGTACCGATGGTGAGATCGATTTATTGACATGGACAGTGCTATTCATAGTAAACTCGATCGTGATATCGGTAGAGTGATATGGATGGGGGAACCGATAGTGATATCGATAGTGAGATCGATCGTGCGATCGATATTGAGATCGACCAGGAAACCGAGAACCCCGGTACCAGACGTTTGATACGCGGGAATTCCCCCGCCCATCGAAATCGGTCCGGAACCAAGCACCGGGAACCTGGGAGCACGGAGCCGGGTATTTTGTAACCCGCTCGCCCACCAAACTCGGCCCAGCATGTTCGCCAAATCTTTCAACCTCCGCTGGGACCCCTTGAGTGCAAACACTGATGGGGGGCAGTGACGTTGTGGCTTGGACTCCCGAGACCGGGCAGCCCGCGCTGGGGCATGGTTTCTTGCTTCGCATCGCTCGGACGTGTGCCTATTTCTTTCGGCGAGGACCATCGAGGAGCATCCTTGATTATTTGGAGAAAAATACCACGCACGAAATCAACAAAAAGCACAGGGAATGGACGTCCGAGCGATGGCGAGCTTGCCGACGCGGTGGCCGAGCCGTGTACTCTGGTCGCCATGTGGCCCACATCGGAGGTTCGGGCCGGAGTCGCGCTGGCGCGTGTTCGGGCGAACGGTCCGGTACTTCGTCGCCAGGTTCCTGTCCAAGGCGTTCCTTTGCAATCACATCGTCTTCGGCACCGCCTGATTCCGGGGCTTTGTCCCCTCCTGGCCTTGATGTGAGGCCCCTCCTTCTGCCCCCCCCTCTCTGTTAATTCAAGCTGTGCGCGGCCCGCTTAGCCTCGACCGGAAGAGGTGCGCTCTCGACCCGCGGATCAAAAAAAGTGTTCGGACGAACGCACGCCTCTGTCATCTGACAAACGTCCCAGGAGCCGTCTTCTTTCGGAGAAGACTGGACGGGCACGATCGTGCCGTCGCACATCGGTGGGCGTAGAATGTGATTGGGTTTGGCGCGAGCGAGTGCTTTTGAAATGCTTTACAGGAAAAGCGCAACACACACACACACACACGGGGACAACGTTTTTTTGTTGCCAGGCGTTGACGTCTGATGCGACGGGTTTGTGTGCACTTGGACGGCGCTGCTAACAAGTAAATCCCAAATGTGTCCAGTGATCAATGTCTATGTCAACTGCCTGAATTCATTGTCCGCAATTAATGCACATGCTTGCTTTGCCATAGTTGCATATCGGTATCGTTTACGGTGTAATCGCTGTCCACCTCTAGACACTTTCCGAATCGTTTGTGGTAGTGTCTAGAATATCAAATGCCAGCGATCGTACACATCGATCGCGCATTTTTGATTAAATGCGCTAGTGTCGTGCACGTGCTACAGCTACTTCTCATCTTTGCAATATGTAGGACGACACCACAGTCATTCAAACGGGGAACGGGCTGGCGGGACTTCTGGGGACCCTGTTTTGAATAATCAAGGCGCCGCATGGCTGGGCCTAGGTCACCTGCGGAGGCGCAAGGATAATGGCGCGTCGCGAGCCGCCCGTTTCCAGTGGGAGCGGCGCGAGGACGCGAGGGCGCGAAGGTGACCGTCTGCCACGCACCGCGCGGTACGATGCGCGAGGTCTTTGTTCGAGGAGGAGGAGGAGGAGGAGGAAGAAGAAAAGAAGACGAATACGAAGAAGAAGAATATGAAGAAGAAAAAGAAGACGAAGGACAACAAAAATAATACAAATAAGAGAAGGAATAATAATAAGAAGAATAATAACAATAATAATACTAATAAGAATGATAATAATAAGGAGAATACTAATAATACTAAGAAGAAGGCGAACACGAATAATAATAATAATAAGAATATTAAGAATAATAATACTAATCATAATAATAATAAGACGAACATGAAGAAGACTAATAAGAATACGAATAAGACTAATAATACGAAGAAGAATGAGAATAATAATACTAATAATAAGAATAAGAATATTACTAATAATAATACTAATAATTCTAATATAAATAATCATAATACTCATAATAATACTAACAAGAATAATATGAATAATGCTAAGAAGAATAAGAAGAAACATACTACTACGAGTAATAATACTCATGCTAGTAATACTAACAATAGTCATAATAATAAGGCTACCACTATTATTATTAATAATAATGATAACAATGATAATAATAATACGAATGATAAGAATAGTAAAACTAATAACACGACTAATAATGCTAATTCTAAGAAGAATAAGAATACTAATATGTAGAAGAATAATAAGACGAATACGAATACTAATAATAATACTAACACGAATAATAGTAATAAGAATTCTAATCGTAATAAGAAGAAGAATACTCATAAGAAGAATAACAATGATACTAATAATAATAATACTAATAATAATAAGAATAATGATAATAATAATAATAATAATAATAATAATAATAATAATAATAATAATAATACGAATAAGCATAATAATAATACGAATAATCATAGGAGGAGGAGGAGGAGGAGGAGGAATAGGAGGGAGGAGGAGGGTGAGGATGAGGAGGATGGAGAGAGGAGGAGGAAGGCACTGAAGAGCCGCGGAGCAGGTCCATCGCCCCCCGGAGGAGGAGAGGAGTCCCCCCGGAGGAGCCAGAGGAGGAGGCCCGAAGGCTCTTTCCCCCCCCCCGCGCCATCCCGAGGCTCTTTCGAACGACGCCGCTGGAGCGCCCCTCGCCGCCGAGGAAGCTGGGGCCGCCCGTCACCGCGGCGCGGCATTGGCGGCGCCACGGCGGTAGAGGTGCCCGCCGCGCGCCTCGGGAGGGCGGCCCAACGCAGCGGCCGCCCTCTGGGGGCAGCTCCGCGGGGGGGCGCCCTGGCAGGGCCGCGGACTCCCCTCCAGCGCGCGCGCCTCGAGGCCTCGCGGCCTCGCGGGCCCGGCCTGCGGCTGCAGCCTGCGAGCTCCCGCGATCCCGCGGGCCGCCAGCTGAGGCGGTGCGGCTCGCGGCGGGCCCTCGGCTGCCCCTCCTCCTTCTCTTCCTCCTCCTCCTCCTCCTCCCCCTCCTTCCCCCCCTTTCCCTCCCCCTCCTCCTCCTCCTCCTCCTCCTCCTCCTCCTCCTGCTCCTCGAGAGAGAGAGAGAGGGGGATTGTGGAGCCCCTCGGGGTTCCAGGGCGCGCGCGCGAGGCTTTCACATTGAGTTCGCGCGTGCGTCTTTCAGTGGTGTGCGTACTCTGTGGCGTCCTCCTCTCCTTCCGCCTCCCCCGCCTCCTCCTCCTCCTCCTCCTCCTCCTCCTCTTCATTTTTTTTTTGTTCTCTCTCTCTCTCTCTCTCTCTCTCTCCCCCCCTCAGAGAACAAAAACACAAAAAAATCTGAGGGGGGGGGGTCGGCGGCGAGACAAAAAAGGAACGCGACGTGGCCTCATCTGTCCCCCCTTAGAAGGATTCCCATAGAACGCCCCTTCAAAAAGGATTCATAGTGAAAATCTCTACAGAAGGATTCCTATCGAAACCCTCCACTGAATGATTCCTACTGAAATCACCCGCAGAAGGATTGATATTGAGATGCTTCGAAATAAGCACCCCCCCGTTGGCATTGCATTGGCATTGGTTTGGCAATGGTTTGGCATCGCATTGGCATTGCGTTGGCATTGCGCTTGGCAGTGCGTTGCTAGTGCGCTGGCATTTCGCAAGCATTGCGCTGGCGAGTCCTAATGGAACCCTCCACAGAAGGACTCCGATCGAAATCTTCTACAAGAAGGACTCCTGTTGAAACCCTCCAAATATTGGCACCCTCCACAGAAGGATTCCATGCGAGACCCTCCACAGAAGGGTTCCTATTGAAATCTACCACAAAGGATTTCCTCCATTGGCAGTGCATTGGCATTGGGTTGGGATCGCTTTGGCATTGGTGTGGCATTGCGTTGGCACTGCGTTGGCATTGCGCTGGCATTGCGCTGGCGAGTTCCAACACATCCCTTCGCATAATGATTCCTGTTGAACCCCCCACAAGAAGGATTCCGATTGAAGCATCCCACAAGAAGGGTTCACATTGAACTCCCTCACGGAAGGATTCCATTCGAAGCCCTCCATAGAAAGAGTTTTCTTGAACCCGGCCACAAACGATTTCCCCCATTGGCATTGCATTGGCATTGAACTGGGATCGCGTTGGCATTGGTTTAGCATTGCGTTGGTATTGCGTTGGCATTGCGCTGGCGAGTTGTAATGGCTCCCCCCACAGAAGGATTCCTATGAAAACCTTGCACAAGAAGGGATCCTTTTGAAAGCCCCCACATGAAGGATTCAAAGTGAAGCCACCCACAGAAAGATTCCAATCGAAACCCTCCACGGGAGGATTCCTACCGAAATCCTCCGAAGAAGGATTCTTAACCAACTCATTCACATAAGGATTCCTAGTGAAATCTGTTGGAAGACAGGGACCCCGCCATCGGCATTGCATTGGCATTGGTTTGGCAACGGTTTGGCATCGCCTTGGCATTGCGTTGGCATTGCGATGGCAGTGTGTTAGCAGTGCGTTGGCATTGCGTTGACATTGCGCTGGCGAGTCCTACTCAAACATTTCGCAGAAGGCTTCCTATTGAACACCCCCACAGAAAGGATGCCTATTGAATACCCCTCACAAGAAGGATTCACATTGAAATCCCCAACAGAAGGGTTCCATGCGAAGCCCTCCATAGAAGGATTCCTATTGAAATCCCCCGAATAAGGGTTCTTAGAAGGATTGCTATTGGAACCTACCACAAACAATTCCCCCCATTGGCATTGCATTGGCATTGGTTTGGCATTGCGTTGGCACCGCTTCGGCATTGCGCTGGCGAGTTCGAATGGCTCCCACCATAGAAGGATTCCGAATCTCCCACAAGAAGGGACCCTTTGAAAGCCCCCACATAAAAGATTCATACTGAACCCCCCCACGGAAGGATTCCAATCGAAACCCTCCACAGGTAGGATTTTTTGAATCTACCACAAAGGATACCCCCCAATGGCATTGCATTGGCATGGAATTGGGATCGCCTTGGCATTGGTTTGGCATTGCGATGGCAGTGCGTTAGCAGTGCGTTGGCATTGCGTTGACATTGCGCTGGCGAGTCCTACTCAAACACTTCACAGAAGGCTTCCTATTGGACACCCCCACAAAAAAAAATGATGCCTATTGAATCCCCCCCACAAGAAGGATTCAAATTGAAATCCTCAACAGAAGGGTTCCATGCGAAGCACTCCATAGAAGGTTTCTTATTGAAATCCTCCGAAGACGGGTTCTTAGAAGGATTGCTTTTGAAATCTACCACAAACAATTCCCCCCATCGGCATTGCATTGGCATTGGTTTGGCATTGCGATGGCAGTGCGTTAGCAGTGCGTTGGTATTGCGCTGGCGAGTCCTGATGGCTCCCTCCGCAGACGGACTCCTACTGAAACCCTCCACAAGAACGATTCCGATTAGATCCTCCCACATGAAGGATTCGTAGTGATGCCCTTCACATGAGGATCCCTATCGAAACCCTGCACATAAGCATTGCTATCGAAATCCTCCGAAGAAGGATTCGTAATGACATCATCCACAAAGTATTCTTATTGGAATCTATCGAACGAAAGGATTCCCCCATTGGCATTGCATTGGCATTGGTGTTGGTTGGGAATGGATTTGTATCGCATCGGCATGTATTGGCCTGGTGCAGGAGATAGACGAAGAGAGAGAGAGAGAGAGAGACAAAAAAAGAGAGAGAGAGAGAGAACACTAGAGAACGATATAACGAGAAAATATTAGTATGTGGGGATCACGGCGAAACGACAAATGACAAAACACAATCAAATTTTGAGGGTGAACGAGCGTTACACTCGATAAAAACCTGATGACAACGACGAGGGGCTCCACAATCCCCCGGCCTCTCCTCCTCCGCCTCCTCCTCCTCCTCCTCCTCCTCCTCCTCCTCCTCCTCCCCCGCCTCCTCCCCCGCCTCCTCCTCCGCCTCCTCCTCCTCCTCCTCCTCCTCCTCCTCCTCCCTCCTCGTCCCTTGAGGGGCAGCGCCGGGGGGGGGATAGGCTCAGGGTGTGTGCGCCTCGACCCCCCGGATCGCCCACTCGTCACCGACAGGGGCCTGATGTCCCAGCCCTCCCCAGGAGAGCGTGCGGATCTGTCGGCGACGTATCGCCGATTCCACGTCGATGCGCAGGGAGGGGAGTTTGTACATTTTGTTCTTGGATGTCATGATCTTTATCGCCTGGTGCGCAACGGTCGTGACCCGCCCCCCCCCCGTGTGTAACGGTAACGACCGTGCCAAGGCGGGGGGGGCTTGGACCTTCGCTACATTCTGGTCGCAGCGCGCCCGGCCCCGACGTGCCGCGCCCCAGCCCGCCCAATCGTCAGCGCCAACCTGGGTACCCCCCCCCAGGGTAACGACCGTTACCGGAAATGATAGAAATCAGTAGGGCAAGGGGGAAGGCCTTCGACCCTCGTTCGCCAACTTATCGCCGATGGGGGCCTGATCTTTGGCTCACCCCGCCCAGGATCGTGCCCAGGCATCCGACGTCTTGGATTTTTGAATCCGGGGGCCCGGGAAGCCCCGACCCCTTCCGAGAGGCCGGTTTTCCACCCCGGGTATTTTTCGACAGTGCCGGGCCTGGCGAGGGCTTCAGGAGGACGCACACGGCAAGCATTTTTCCATCACGTTCTCCTGCGCCACGCGAGCATGTCTTCGTGGGTGGAGAGCATATCCGTACACCACGGCCTCGCGGGCCAGGCCCTGAGGCCGCCACCCCCGCGGATGCGGGGCGCTTCTTTGCGGATGCCCCGCGCGGAACGTATCCGTGCGACCGCGTATCCTCGGGATCACGCTCTAGAGTCCAGACCGCGAGGGCGTTGGTATGGATACGGATTTGTTCGCCGCTCGTAATTTCTGGGTGCGGACCAATCGGCGATGTATCGCCCATTCCGGGTCGATGCTTCCCCTCCCCCGAGCCGCCCCCCCTGACGTTACCCCTCGTCCCTGCCCCTGGCATTGGCCCTTCGGCGGCTGTGGAGACAGAGGACGAAAAAAGGAGCGGTCAGATGAGGTCGGTGGGCGTCTTGGAGGCTGCTGGGTGGAGCTCTCGACTTCCCAAATGGGGTCCGAGCAGATGGGGTCCCGATGCGTCACAGATGTGGCTCGATGGGGAGCCCGATTTTTCTCCGCGAAACCCTCGTCCCCACGCCTGGGCGCAGCTCGAGCGACTCGATCAGGACGGCCTGGGGGCCCGGGGTGAGTGGGTTTGGGTCGAAGCCTACGCCGACGACGACGACAGTGGCAACATTCCCTTTCGATCAGGTGGGAAGGATCTTTGTTTCGCGTACCTCCATGCGGCCTTTGGCCTTCGTCGACGGGGCTAGCGTTCTTGAGACCCACGTTATCGTGACCACTGTGTGGCTGCAGTCAGAGGAGGCTGCGCTCATGCCGACCAGATCGATCCACAAGGTTTGGCAAGCATGTTGCCCTCCCTCCTCCTCCTCTTCCTCCTCCTCCTCCTCCTCTTCCTCCCTCCTCCTCCTCCTCCTCCTCCTCCTCTTTCTCCTCCTCCTCCTCCTCCTCCTCTTTCTCCTCCTCCTCCTCCTCCTCCTCCTCCTCCTTCTTCTCCTCCTTCCTCCTCCTCCTCGTCCTCCTCCTCTCTCCTCCCCCCTCCCCCTCCTCCTCCTCCTCCTCCTCCTCCCTCTCTCCCTCCTCCTCCTCCTCCTCCTCCTCCTCCTCCTCCTCCTCCCCTGCTGGCAGCCATGTTCAGCGCTGGACATGCTGCTGGTGAGGGGGCAAGAAGAACGAAGTTCGGTACTACTTCTGCAAACGCTGCGGCGCACTCAAGAGCGAATCCGCGCTGTCATCCTCTTCGTGGCCTTCGGGCAAGTCTGTCAAGGTCTTTGGAGACCAACGTGGAGGTGGCACAGGAGGCTTTGGCAAAGGTGGCAAAGAGGCACCCGCCAGTTGTGGCAAGGGTGCAGCTGCCACTACTGCTGAAACTCCCCCTCTCACCGCGGAGGGCACATGCAGCTGGCGG